GCGGATTTCCTTCACTCACACAAAACTGGATGTGTGCTTTTAACATACATCGTTCCGCAAACACAACCCCACCCCCGGCCACCCTCTTTTGAGCCAGTGCCCCCGACTTATTACTTATCTCATTCACTTCAACACTGCTTCAGTGTTACTTCAACACTGTAGTGTAGTGAATTCTAGTAAAAGAGAAAGAATTGCAATGCTCGGGCAAACCTCTATAAAGTTGATGTCGCTATAGAGTTAGAACCGGTGAATATGGTTTAGAAAGAGAATGATGTGCGCCAAATGAGTCGCTGTAGAAACCGAATACTTCAATGGTTGCAGATGAAATAGCTCAACACGAGAGCCAACGCAAACGCAATGACATGTGAAATAAAACATCCTCATGTATTAAGGAAGAATGGCTTGATTAAGTGCTGGAAACAGCAGATGATGGGCACAGAACGGTAACAAACCTCAGAGACATTCACAGTCACAGGTGTATTGTGCAAACTGTACTTCATAGGGATGTTTAGGTAGCTATAGAAGAATTCACGTTCACGTTTTTTTTTAATATATATTTAGCTTACAGTTCTCAGTTAAAATGTTTCAGTGTGTTTTCTCTATCAGTTTAAATTCTTCAGTTTTGTTACAATTTCTAATATTGGTTTCCTATTTTAATATAGGCCTACTTTAAAATACAGGCTTATTTATTCCTGTGATCAAAGCTGAAATTTCAGCATCATTACTCCGGTCTTCAGTGTCACATGATCCTTCAGAAATCGTTCTAATATGCTGATCATTCTAATTTTGGAACCTGTAATACTTTTTTTCTTTGATTAATAAAAAGTTAAAAAGAACAGCATTTGTTCAAAATCGAAATCATTTCTAACAATATAAGTCTTTACTATCACTTTTTATCAATTTAACACATCATTGCTGAGTAAAAGAATTAATTTCTTTAAAAAAAAGAAAGAAAAATTTTACTGACCCCAAACTTTTGAATAGTAGTGTACTGTACTGTATATTATAACACAAAATTTCTATTTTGAATAAACACTGTTCTTTTTAACTTTTTATTCATCAAAGAATCCTGAAAAAAGTATCACAGGTCCCAAAAGCAGCAAAACTGTTTCCAACATTGATTATAAATCAGCATATTAGAGTGATTTCTGAAGGATCACGTGACACTGAAGACTGGAGTAATGATGCTGAAAATTCAGCTTTGCTTCACAGGAATAAATTATATTTTAAAGTATATTATATAGAAAACTTTTATTTTAAATTGCAATATTTCACAATATTATTTTGTGAAATAATATTCAGTATTTTTATCAAATAGATACAGCCTTGATGAGCGTAAGAAACTTCTTTAAAAAACGTTACTGATCCCAAACCTATGAATGGCAGTGTATTATTGTAAATATCCGCTGTAAAGTTTTGCTCAGCAAGAAAAAAAAAATAAAGGGAACATTGGTGGACACATATAAGTGCTCTTTAAGACGGAGGATTTTGCTGTGAATTAAAAGGGTTATAGACGAAGCCCATGGTGAAGGCAGAGCAATGAATGAACAAGGCAAAGCTGGAGGGATGAGGAAGCCAGAGACCTGCCTGGAAAAACACACACGCCTGTAATGGACGAGATGGTAAAGGTCCTAAAAGTCCTGTGTGTGTGCTCCTCAAGGGAGTGATCCCACTGTGAGAGGGGGAGGATTTTTTGGTTACACTTTATTTCGATAGTCCACTTTAGACATTCTATTAACTATAAGTAACTTTGTAACTACATGTCAACTAATTCTCATTTGCAATTCTCATTAATTTTCAATTACATGTCAACTACATGTCAACTAATTCTCAGAGTAGACTGTTAGGGTAGGTTTAGGGTTAGTAGAATAAGTTGACAAAGAAAGTGTTAGAAGATATTAAGCAGACAGTCTACTAATACTCTACTAACTGCTAGTTGACATGTAGTTGCAAAGTTACTTGCTGTTAATAGAATGTCTAAAGTGGACTATCGAAATAAAGTGTTACCGATTTTTTTACTGCTGCTAGATCCAGAAGATGGTCAGCAAAAAGGATGAAATAAAGTTGGATTTAGACATCTTAGTTAAAGCTCAAAACACTTAGAATATCAGGAAAACAGCAAACACTAAAATTAGTGTGAAAACACTAATTAATGAATGAATCACTATAGAGACTAAAAAACTAGATCAAAGAACTAAAACAAGTACAAAACCCATTCAGACAGACAGACAGAGAGATAACCCCTAACAATAATATTCCAGAACACGGGGCAACTTTTTGAGCAATGTTGCCGGGCAACTTTGGGAAATGTTGCCATTAACGGACAACCAGTTGAGACACAGGGTAACTAATTAGGGCAATGGACAGTTGGCTACAAGCAATCAGCGAGGAGCAAATATGTTGCCCATTGATGGCAACAATTCCCAAAGTTGCCTGGCAACATTGCTCAAAAAGTTGCCCCGTGTATCATCACCTTTAGAACCATATCAGAGTTTTAAACTTATCTTGTAATATGTGGAGTGCTTGTGTGGTTAAAGCACAGGATAGTTAATTGGAAAGTTATGAATCATTGCATTTCACCAAGGCACTTATCATCATGTTCTTCCTAAAGGACTATCCTGTAAATGACTTACATGTGTTTTTTCTTTTATTCATTATCAGAAGGAGGGAGAATGCTCAGATGTAATCATGACACCAGTCCAAACACACATGATGAACCAGGCACTCCTGTCTCCAGTCTCTCATCCATGAGGATTGTTCTTCTGGGTAAAACTGGTTTTGGGAAAAGTGCATCTGGAAACACAATACTGGGAAAGAAAGATTTTATATCTGAGCTTAGCTCAAAATCGGTAACCCGTGGATGTTCAGTGAAGCATGCCACTGTTTCAGGCAGATCTGTGTCTGTAGTCGATACTCCTGGATTCTTTGACACAAAGATGAAACGCAAGCAGTTAATGAAAGAGATAGCAAGAAGTGTTTATTTATCCAGTCCTGGACCTCATGCTTTTCTCATTTTTTTGAAAGTAAATGACAGATTCACTGAACATGAGCAGCAGATTCCTCAGATTATTGAGATTATGTTTGGTCAGGAGGTGATAAAATACTCCATCATTCTCTTTACTCATGGAGATCAGCTGAAAGGAAAGACCATGGAGAAAATCATTCAGGGTGACAGTAGATTAAGAGATCTAGTTCAGCAGTGTGGAGGCAGATATCAGGTGTTCAGCAATGAAGATGAGAATAACAGAAAGCAGGTCAATGATCTACTGCAGAAGATTGACACAATGATAGAGCAGAATGGAGGAGGGCACTACAGTAATAAGATGTTTGAAGATGCTCAGAAATTTAGAGAAGAGGAAGAAAAAAGGAGACAGAGAGAAGAAGAAGAGAGAAAAGAACAAGAGAAACAAAGACAAGAGCAGATGGAGAGAATGAGAAAGGAGACAGAGAGAATCAGAGAAGACATGGAAGCTAAGAGATCTGAATTCGAAAAACTTAAAGCAGAGAGACAGAGAGACGAAACGAAGAGAAAACAACAAGAGAAACAAAGACAAGAGATTGAGATATTGAGGCAGATGAGAGAGAAGATTCTAGAAGAGATAGAAGCTAAGAGATGTGAACTGGAAAGATTTAAACAGAGACGCAGAGAGGAGGAGGAGAGAAAACAACAAGAGGAAACTGAGAAAGTGTCAGAAGTTCATGACCAGTCTATTATAGAAAGAGGAAGTGAAAACCCTGAATTTGAACAATTTTATAGAAAGCATCGGTGCAGATGGCATATGGCAGCTTTTGTAATTAATCATATGACCACTGGTCAAGTTATTGGTGCAGTTATTGGTGGAGCTTTTGGACTTATTGCTGGCCCTGCTGGTGCAGGTGTTGGTATAGTTGCTGGTGCAGGTATTGGTACAGCTGTTGGTGCAGTTGTTGGTAAAGTTAGGTTTAAACGTGAATAATTGTCGTGGCCCACAGGTCTAAGAGACCCAAACCCCTGGTCCATGCTTCAATCAGGCCAGAGTTTCTGGCAAATTTATTTCTGTCTTCCCATGATTTGAATATTATTTCATTAGTTTGTTTTAGCTGTTCTACACACATTGATTTATAAGAAGCGATATGTAAATCATTTTTTATTGCTATAATTAATTAAATATCTATTCATTTTTAAGTTTTACCTTCATTAATTTGTGCTGGTACCAGAGAGAGTTCTTTAAGGTGATACGATAGAAAACCTTTAAATTCTAATTTCCATTCTTTTTTGCTTGATATAATAACATTTGTGATAAATTTTCTGTTTGTATGAACTCAATTTGATATGTTCATTTGTAATTTCAGTAACAATATGACTACAATGTCATTTGCAAATGCATTATAATCACTGTTAAGCAGTTATATCAGGGAGACTTTAATACTTGCAATATCCAACGATGCCTCGATACTAATATTAATGTACGTTAAATATATCTGTAAATCTGTACCGTTGATCATAATTTAATTTGTTAGAAAATAAGTATTGTATTTGATTCACAGTTTCACTCTATTCAGTTGTCATCCTGCTTGTTCAGTTGATTGGAATTATAACGTTTGGCTTGCTGTTTTATTCATGTTACTGCTGCGGCAGCAGAACATAAAGAGAGAACATTACAATTTTAAACTAGGGACAAACATCAGGGTAAAAAAATTAAAATAAGAAAAACAAAAGGAACCTCCTGGGAAATATCTGGCAAACAGTGAACCATTTTAAACTCACATGATATAAATGCTTCATTAATATGTATTTCACCTAAAAGTAGATGTCTGATTTATTACATGATGCAGCAAAAATAGATTATAGTGCGACTGAAGTGTGTTGTATTTGTGGTTTTCTCATTAATATCTTATGATTCCAGAAGCTGCTCTGTGTCTTGTCTATTAAACCCATGATGTATCTTTTGTTTATCAAGATGAGATTCCTGTAGTTGGCGCTAAAGAGCGTCCAATAAAGTCATGTTTAGGACTGCTCCAACATGCTCTTAAGTGAAATTTTAATCTCATATTGTGTTTACTGATTTTACCAGTAAGATAACTGAGGTGACAATGCAGACTATGTCTTTCAAGTGCTGTGTGAGTTCAATGTATCATTTACAAATAACTGCAGCCATGGATGAACAAATGCAAATATTAATATGTTAATGTTCTCCAGTGGTGCATTTGGTCAATGATTTAGTGACTATTACAAAACTGGTAAATGAGATAAAATTATAAATATTTAGAAGCCATTATTGAGCTTGTATTTATCTTTTTGTTTTTAACTATTTAAGAGGACAGGGATTGACAGCTCCTCCTCTAGCCAATCAGATGAAGAGGGGCGGTGACGTCACTCCAACGCGCCTCATTAGCTGCCGATGCTCAGTGTTCTGTTCACTTGTACAGGTGAAAATGGACAGCTGTCAGCTGGGAAACATCTTTCCATACAGGACACCGTTATATGTGTCTGCCTGTCACTGCTGTACGCCTGCCTGGCGATCCGTTAATGTTAAATGAGCCGTCCTAGTGACCCGTCGTGGTTCTATTCACCTGTATTTATTCGCCTATGGCCACATCGCGAAAGGGAGGAGCTACAATACCGGCCTCGCGAAGTCACTGATGTGCCTGGTTCGCCCAGTCAGGTATGGGCCATACCTGACTGATAATAAGTCTTATGGTTATTACTGTTAGGAGAGGATGATATGAGTAAGAGTAATACATCCCAGTCACAATTGTTTTGTTTGCTGTATTGCTCGTAATTGTTAACTGTCTGTAGGCAGTATTTGATTTACGCTTATTCTTTTTTAATCCGTGACCATTGTTTGCAATTCTGAAAACTTTGCTTTCATTTTTAAATCTTGTGCAATATATTTTTTACTTGCGTTTTTAAATTTTGTTTTCATGCTTGTTCTTTTTTTTTCAGTGACTGCAATACTTTAGGCGGGATTCTGATCCCATAGACAGGGCATATTGAAACAGGGATGTTAAAACAACCATCAGAAATGTTCTCCATAGAGCAGTATTATTTATGTTAGACATAGGGACTTTTATTTTGATGGTTTTCTGAGGAAAAATACTCACCTGCATGCTGGGTAATATGAAGTATCCAGATCAGAGTACTATAAGCATATGGCACATCTGTGATTACATCCATTACAATAAACCCTACGAAAGCAATGGCTGTAAGTTTTATTAATCTGTCTACATATTTAGTACAATGTTTTGTTTGCATCAGTGGAAGAAAGAATGTGTAAGGGAAGGAGGGACCGTTCTGAATAAGAACTGATTCTCGACGCCTTCTAACTCTACTTCAGAGTTACACCTCTCCACCTCACATTGGGATTTATTTTGAGTTAATGACTAACCAGATGACTACATGATCCCTTACATGAGTCATTGCTTGTGTTTATGCATCCCTGACTGAAGACAACGCTTTATTTCACGCTGGTAAACACACACTGTAGATTACAGAGGATGAAGGACACCATCATTAACTCACACACAATGGTAAATGTTCTCACATCTGGCAGTCAGTTGACCATATGCTGAAGTCTCTGCCTTTTTCTCTGGCCAAACACACACACACACTCTCTCTCACACACAAACACACACATGTCTGGTTTGCTATCCTTGTGGGGACTCTCCATAGGCGTAATGGTTTTTCTACTGTACAGACCGTATATTCTATTGCCCTACACCAACCCTACCCCTAAACCTACCCCTCACAGGAAACTTTCTGCATTTTTAGATTTTCAAAAAACTTAATTCTGTATGATTTATAAGCTTTTGTACCCGTGGGGACCACAATTTAGGTCCACACCGTGACACGAGTCCCCATGAGTCTGTATGTATTCAGGTTTAAGTCCCCACCAGAATAGAAAAACACGTACACACACACACACACACACACACACTTTAGT